AGGCCCCAGTGGGGGAGGGGAGGGGGGGCTGGGGAGGCATGGCACCCACCCTCCTCAGCGACACTGTCCACCACGGAGCCCACGCCGAAGGCCAGGACGTCGGAGCTGCCATCGGAGCTCCCCCCTAAGCCACTGTCGCTGCTCAGACCTGCGGGATCCGTGGGCAGAGGGGGTCCTGAGTCTCCCCGACTCCTCCCCAGACCCCAACCATCCTCCAGGGGTGCCCCGGGGGCAGGGGGCGGCCTGCGAGGATGGGAGGAAAGGGGACAAAACAAGCCACGGGCAGGCCCATGCGCACCCGCCCTCAGGCAGGTCAGCCCGCAGGATGGGGGGCGTGTGAGGCTGTGGGTGCTCAGCCCTCCTTGTGGCCAGTGCATGTGAGGAGGTCACTGCCCAGGGAGGGGGTCTTGGCCAAGCCCTGGAGGCGGCCCCAGGCAGCACCAACCGTCTCAGCCAAGGGCAACCCCGAAGAGCCCCAGGCTCAGGGATGGTGAGGCAGCGCCCCCTGCTGCCCGCGGTCACCCTGCCAATTCTTGGCCGAGGGCCCTGCCTTCTGCCCACACGTGCCAGGAGGTGCTGACCACCCGTTAGCAGGCAGCCCTCAGGGGAGAACTCGAGGTATAGCAGTTGCCCCCCAACCCCAAGAGGGGTGAGAAAGATGTGTGTCCCGAGTTTTCCAGGCCCCGAGCACACAGGTACACATAGACACCCACAGAATACACCTGTGTGCTCACCCTGACATACACCTACTCCTGTGTGCACACAGCACACACACACACACACACACACACACACATCACTCAGGGGTCATGACCTTCGTCTCCAAGTCGATGCCCTAGTTGCCCCCAGCCCCTCAAGGTACTATCCCAGCCTTAGGCCCGCTTGACCCCGTTCTCCCCACTCCAGACCAGCCTCCCACGACACCACCTCCAAGCCCTGTCCCTCCTGACAATCCCCCAGCAAATGGCCAGGTGTCCACCCTCCCGGTGAACCCTGCCTGGTGCTGCCCTGCGGCCTGGCCAGGGGAGGGTGGG